TGGTCGTATCGAATTGTCGTCCCACCAGAGTTTGAGAGTGACAGAAATAGAGAGTGTATGTATATGAGATTTGCCGTTGTGGTCGAATCGGTTTGGAGGGCATCAATGATTCCTGTATAATATTAGTCTGTTGGCTCCTATCCAAAATCGATAAAAGTGTTATTTTGTGGTCCTTAGGTCACAATAAAATATAAACTTTGATCAATTTAAAAAATGGGGATTATGAAAAATCTACTAATTTAAAAGAACGAAATGATTTTTTTGTCCATTTTTACTAATTGAAAACAAAAAACACGACTTGATTCGTAAATAATGTTTTTTTTTTCAATTACATGATAATCTACACCTACTCGCTGCAAACGAGTATAAATAGACGTAACCAGAGAAGCTTAAAGTAAAATATTTTCAGAAATTTATTTTCAATTCAATATCTACATTATGCTCAATATATTATTTGTATGACATTTAAAATATACATACGTTGCTACCTATAAATATTTTTATTAATATAGTTTTTTTATTATAATGAATAAAAAAATAGCTCAAATCTTATAGGTATTCTTCTATCCTTATAGAAAAGAAGAACCAGTTTGAATGAAAAAAAAAACATGTAATTATAACAAAACATTTTGAAGACCATGTAATTTTGTGGGCATTTCCTTTTCATTATGTTAGTGAACACAATTTTGCTAGCTACTCGTAAACTTGGATGGTACAGTATATTGGCCAATAACCAACAGTTAGGTATATTTTGCTGAAGTAATGAAACTGAGAAAAATGCTTAGCAAATGAAAATTGGCATATTCGATTTTTTACCTCATTTTCGAGTCTAAGCGAGTGTTAAGCTGTTATTACCAACACCGCAAAAGTTCCAGGTTTAATTCTGCTCAAAAATATACGTGTATGTGCACTTACAACATGGAACTCCTGATTTAGTTATCAATGTGTGCACTTAGTTTATTATACTAACGACTCACCCTCACTCCGCTCGGGTGCGTCCCGCAGTAAAGGTATCCTATATGTTGAGCCGGATAACCAGCTATCATCATAACAAACTTCATCAAAATCTGTCCAGTGGTTTTCTCGTAAAGCGATCACAGACAAACAGACAGACAGACAGACAGACACACAAAAAATCTAAAAACTATAGATTCGGCCTCTGTATCGATAGCAATATCTATTTCAATAAGATTTTCCAAAAAATATTTAATGTACAGATTCGACTCAGTGAGAATTTTATTATATGTATAGATATAGTAAATAATATAATTATTAAGTATTGTATACTAAATATTATTATACATTTATATGTATTTTAATAGATATACAGGGTTAGAAAACCCATTGACTTCATCCAAAGAATTCAAATCCAAAAGAAATATTCTGCATTAAATTATTACAATTTTTACTAAAATACTGTGAGTCTACCACCAGTTTGAAAAGAAAAACCTAAGTTCTGAAAATATGAGAAGGAAAGGCAGATGATTTTCATCAAATTTTAATTTTTGCTAAAAGTTACAAAAAATATTTATTTAAATATAACAATCATAGTAAATATTTTGCTTATACTTATTTAAAATTTTCTGATAAAATCATGATTGCCTTGCCGCTTCCGAACCATATTTTCTGAAGTAAAAAACACATTTTCGTAGATAGCGAAAATAATGAACCGCGCGGGCGTCGAGTGAATTAAAACTAATGGAAGAGTAAATTTCTCATGAGAATAAAGCTTCACACCTGTTTTGAACTCTGCCTTACCGATATTGTTGTGCGCTTTCAGAGCTTATTCATATTAGCTCGTTTAGTTACACTTCAAAATTTATAATTAGAAACGATTTACGTTATAAAATTATATTATTTACTTTGATTTGATGAAAATAATCTGAACAAACATAATTCTAATTTGTAAATCTTTGGGATAGGTGAGAGAACAACATTATTCTTTAATTAATTTGTACTTAAATATTTGTATTTTCATGCGCATTGCGTGGAAACGATAATTTCTTTCTATATTGCTATTAATTGCTAGTCCAAAATATTAAGCTTATTAAAGTAAACCTTCTTTAGAAGCGACTGAGGGGTAAGTCAATATATTGAAAAAATGGGTATCGCAAAAGAAATATATTTTTATAATAATTATTACTAATAAACATGAATATTTAATACTAATAATTATTTAAAAAAAAAACTATCTTTTTGGTTACCGACGTTTCGAATGCTTTACAGCAATCATGGTCACGGGAGAGACTAAGGTAATAAACGCCTCAAAGGCGTTATACACTTGTTACAGACAGTGCGAACCCACTATTTTACAAAAATTATTTCAAAAATTCAAAAATGGCACCAAAGTACCTTACAATATTTGTTGATTTATATTTCTAATCATTTAAAAAATTTAATAAGTATTATAAACTTTTTAATTACTAATATTATTTAGTGTTGCTATTATTATATTATGTATAACCATAAAGAATATTAAAAATTAAAAATATAAATTATTTAAATAAATAAAATTGTATTATAATTGTTTTACTTCAATCGCGCGTGAAGGTTACATGCACTCATTTCTTTTATTATTTGAATAGACTTTATGGGACTATTGTATTACAGATAGCATTTGGACTCTACTTTATCGTGATCTCTTCAAAAAGCAGAAGTTATGCTTGCTGGTTGGAATTTATATGTAAATGCGAACAATATCATTTTTAGTACCATTGACTAAAATAATTTACATAAAAATTGAAACTAAAAGTACATATTTCCTATTTCGATGTTCAATTTATAGACATAATTTACGTTACAATTTTTCCATCTTCACATTTCATGTTCTATGCAACAGCAAATGGATTAGTGGCTTTTACGAGCAAGCTGACTGCGGATATAGCAGCCTAAGACCGATGATGAATTTTAATGCGATATGAATTTCCTTTTTCTTACTTCCCTTTTTGAACAGGAAGTAGTTATTTGAATCAAAATTTATACTTACATTATCAATTTTCTTAATAAGATTTACGTATTATAAAGGTTTTAATGTTCTGCCTTTTTAAAAAAAAAACTTAATAATTAGCTGTTACTAAAAACTAAACTCTACCTTCTAGTGTAAAAACCGTAGAATCCATCTTAATACGCTTATACGTCATGTACTTATAAGTATATTTTACCTATAGTACTGTATGTAATGAAAAACATGCTAATAAAATAAAAAAATTATATAAAATATTAATAATATTATAAATATCTAGCGAATCACCCTCGCTTCGTTTCCGGTTCGTCCCTAGACAAAAACAAACCTATCCTACGGGAACCATACATATTTCCGGGATGATATATATATACCTATACCCTTCCGCAATAAACGGGCTATTTAATTCAAAAAGATTTTTTCTTATCTGATTAGTAGTTCCTGAGATTAGCGCTTTCAAACAAACAAACAAACTCTGCCTCTTTACAATATTAGTATAGATAATATTAAGATTCAAAAAATTAAACAACTATAATAGAGACTTAATAAAATCATTTAAAAGTTTATTTTATGAAAACGAATTTAAGTAGATAAGAAAACGCTAAAAAAATCATATTCCTCTGATTATCTTAGCGTTTATTTTTATACATATGGCCGAAATAGCAAAGCACACTGCGCGCGTGAAGTAAATTAAAACTAATGGAACAATTAAATCCTTATGAGAACAAATCCGCTGTTCGTGTCTCAACTTTGCCCCTCGTTTTCACGCTTTTGTTGTTTCCACGTTATTATTTTCCGTGATTAAATGATTTGTTGTATAGTTTATCTAAAGGCGTTTTGACTTTATTTTAAGAATCATAATTCATACTAAAACAGTTTTTGGTGCTGCCATCTCTAGAAGCTTGGCAGGAAATAAGTATTTAAATAATAGTGATAACTACATTTATTCTATTCTCATAGTAGTTACAATTCATAATATTGTTAACATATACGTATGTCCTCTGTATAAGGTCCAATCAAAAGCAGCCAATCAAAATATTAAAAAAATATTTTGACAAGTTAGAAATACTTGTAACCTGTAAGTCAGATAATGACGAGGTGGGCTAATTATATGCTGAAAAGTGTGCAATTCAATAATCTGCCGATTTCCACAAGCCAAAAAGGCAAAAATCGTCCATAAACATCCATAAACTTTACCGTTATAAAGCTAAGTATCGTTTAATGTATGTACCTGCCTATCTGATTGTCGTGTCGTGTAGACTCATCTTATATTAGAGATGATATGATTGTGAAATGGGCAGGGAGAAGAAGAAGAAGAAGATATGAATATGATAATATTTTTAAATTTTCACTGCTACTATTTATACGAATGTTTTATGTAAGCGAAAAATCTCAATCTATATTATATATTTATATATTAATATAAATAATAAACGAAAATATAATCTAATAAAATAAATTTACCAATCTCATAAGCCTAACAGAATATAAGCCTCGACTAGGCAGCATTCCTAGCACGTCTCTCTCACAACTATTAACGTGCAGCCAGATGTACGAAGAGGATATAGGCCAGTAGAAACTTGTGTTTTCTTTTGCCAGTTGCTTTTCGAGCAAACTAGAACGCGTAACTACTCGTAAACAGGTTAGGCTACGTCGCAAAATTTTGTGTTGAATTGAAGTTTCTAACGAAGGCATACTTGCTATACTGAACTACGTAGCTGTATATATTTTTCTTCTAATTATTATTATTAGTTTTAACAAAAGTAACTTTCAAAGTCTATAAACCTTCAAAACTATTATATCAATGATTAAATAATGAAACCTATAATATAATAAATGAAGTCAATTTTATGATACGCATACTGCTTTTCATATATTAAATTGTCATACTTGTTAGTTAATGGATAAAACCAAATGGATTTGTATCTAGCGAATTACAGTATCATATCTTCGATTTTTATATCGGGTACGGTTGTATCATAAAGCACTTGTAAATTAAATATTTGAGCTTTATAGAACTTAAAACAAATATTGTAAAATGATTAGGTATAAATTATTGGCAAAATGCTGCACCCTTGCACCTAAGGTACTATATTGAATTTATCTGATAAGCATGCGTCAACTCTGTCAAAAATCATCCTAATTAAGTGTAAATTGTTTTTAAGATAAAATATAATCTTTTCCCGCTTCTAGAACATAAGCTATCCGTGTACCAATTCGCATTAAAATTAGACGAATAGGCAGACACTCACTTTCACACTTATTATATTCAACTAAGGATTAAATAATAAATAATAAAAACGATTTTGAAAATATCTGATTGGGTATCTGTTCTAAATGAAAACCGCCGTTTAGTTATTTTTTACATTTTAGTGCCTGGAAGTCGTTTTTTTTTAGTTTTTATTTTCCATTTTTAGTGTAGACGCAATAAACAGGTAATTTGTTAGAAGATAGTTTTTTAATAAGATATTCGATTAAACAATTTATTTAATAACAACATTTATTGTAGATTTTTTTAAAAAACTGCTCGACCGATTTTGATTAAATTTATATGGGACCATCTGGGAAGTATGCCCTTTGAAACAAAAAAAAAATTCCACATCGGTTCAGGCGTGTTCGAGTAATCGGTGAATAAGTATACATAAAAAAAAAGATTCCGACGAATTGAGAACCTACTCCTTTTAGGAAGTCGGTTACAAACAGAACATTGATGATGATAACTACTAATAAAAGTTAGATATCTTACCAGAGATTTATATTCTCAATAGAGATTTATTAAACTTGCAACATAGTATTCCAGCTCAATTTTAAATGAGATACATGAACATCTATATCTTTACAAACACAACACGTAAAGATAAGTATATAACTAAAATATGAACGTAGGTACCTATCTAAAGCGCAAATATAGTTTCAACTTTCATCCATTGATAGATATTATTTCTGAATCCACTCAACGTGCAAACGTAGTGACTCGAGTACTTCCTTCGATGGAGCAAACTGAATTAGGGACGTTTTTCTCCATCTAAACCTCCCTCTAAGGAGCGAAGTGTTGAATTATTGGAGTTACTTTATTTTATAAAACGATTTCGCCTGAAAGAGATTTCTGTTTATTTTTTCAGTAAGCGTCTTTTAGTGCCACTTTGTATTCTATTGATATAAATCGATGGCATTAGAACTAATTTTCGGAGTTTATCCTGTTCTCTTCTGAATATTATATTTTTCTGTACGAAGGTGACATTTTGTCACGTTCGTTTCCTCTTCCATTCTTCATACGTTTCGTTGCTTCTTCAAAAATCAAAACTTCTACATTCGAGATTTCTCACGACTTTTGAGAAAAATTTGTAAAAATACTTCATATTGGTTTAAACTCCACATACTGTTGAAAAGAAAACTTGTTTTATGAAGAACATTGATTGTAAAATGCAAAATAAAACAAAATAATAAAAATTGTTGCCGTAATTCATTTATGTACATCTATACCTATATAAATAATATTATAAAGAGGTAAAGTTTGTGAGTTTGTGAGTTTGTAAGGTTGTAGGGGGTAATCTCAGGATCTACTAAGCCAATTTAGATGAAATTTGGTAAGAAGATAGTTTGAGACCCTGGGAAGGACATAGGATACTTTAGCCCGGAAATCATCCCTTAAGAAAATCATCCCTTAAGGGTGTGAAAATGGGGATGAAAGTTTGTATGGAGAACCAAGCTAGGGACGAACCCGAGCGAAGCGAGGGAAGTCGATAGTATATTATATAAAACCTTTTCAGATGTCTACTAAGGATATTCTAGCTTACAAATTCTTCTAAGCCAAAGTTTATGTAGCCAGCTGATCTCGGTCCATTGTAAGCTCTTTTTGACGAGTAATTTGCGAGTGTTTCCTTTTCATTAAATTCCAACGCACAATATTGCTGCTCGATCGTAAATTCGGACGACGTACATTAACACGCGTACAAACCTTTGTGAAAATAATAAAACATGAGCAACAACATCATCAAATGTCCAGCAGAATATTAACTGTATTATTATATCTTTTTACGCAAGTTTAACTGAATCATATTCCAGTTAATAAAGATATAAAATAGGAATTAGTTTTAAAGGTCAAGGAGAGTTCCCATTTGGTACGTTTATTCAATTGGGTGACCTCTTTATATTTTGAATTTGCGACCTTGAGCGACCGTCATTAGTGCCGCCGTATTGGAACATGGTAACGAAAACCAACGTCTGAGAAATATCTTCTATCAAGTGCCACATAATATGGTCGTTAGGAAAATTATAGACCTTCTAATTTCCTACGAATTTGGTAGGAATATTAAACAAACAATATATTTAAATTACCAAATAAATAAATATTAAATTTAAATTACCAAATTCCATCTAAATCGGTTCAGTAGATCCAGAGATTTCCCCCAAAACGTCACAATTCTCAATTCACAAATTCACAAACTTTATTTCTTTATAATATTAAGTATATATAAATAATCAGTTATTTCAACTAGGTAGGTTTAAATATTTTTGATTTATAGCTAAATACTACAGTTTTAACCCTTACACAATTTTTAAAGAGCTGCGTAACTAAAATGCAAATACCCTCGATAATTTCATATTGATTGATGATTTTAATAAGTTTGTCCGGCTTTCAGTATGCTGATACTGAAAGCCGGACAAACCGAATGTTCCGTTCCCGTTGTCCTTGTATCCCTTCAGGCTCACATCACCCGAATTCATTTTCTATTCAAACAGAGAAACTTTATTTTTATAAATTTAAATATGATTATTTATATCAACACATTTCGCTTTTATATTTATATATTTATTAAACGTAAATATATTTAACCTTTTCAATTTTTGAATTGAATACCTTAAACACTAAATCAATTTCTAAACGTTTCTCTGCAACTGTCACTGTCAATGTCATTGAATTAATGATTGCTCTGTGGATTGTCGAATGCGATCTCGTTTTTGCGAAATATGTTATTACTAGTGTGTTAAGCAGCCGATTGTCCTTGTGAATCTCAGGTAGAAAATATTTATTATAACTTATTCTATAACTTGTTTTATACGCTACGTCAAATTATGACCTTTTAAACAAGATTAAATAGAAGCATCAGTGATAACCAAAATAGAGTAAGTTGTTTACTATTCTTTAGTACTCCACAATTAGAAATATTTTTTAGCACAGTGCTTATAAGCTTCTTTCCACCTACGTCACTAGTTTATGTAAAATAATTTTTAAAACATGTACAATGTGTCAATGCTATTAAGAACTAATGATTATCTTCCTTAATATATATTTTCTAATCATAGTACAATTATTCCAGTGTAAATGCTAAAATCATGTGTCACTTCTTCTTGTGTGTTCTTTGAAAATACCTTACTACTTCATACTTTACTTAATTAACTTCATATATTTAAACATAGATACTGACATTTTAATATAAGCCTTTAGCAGGATAAAATTACAACCAAATGTAAATTTCGTCATGGTTTACCTTCATTTCATATTTACTTCATGTAATAATATTTCCTTATTAGTTGTGCAAAATTCTTTATGTATTTGTCACACATAATTCATAAAGAAAAATATTAAAAATATGATTAGCAAAAAGTATTTGCAGTATTTATAATAAACTTAATTATTTAATTCCAAATTGAATATAAATCAGTGTCTTTATTACATTTAAGCACAATACATTTTGAAATAATGACTTACATTAATCAATTGACATATGAATCATAATTTATTTCCAATAACAATAGACTTCTTTGACAATTTTTGTACTTGAAATTGTGTGAAGTGTGCTTCTTAATCATTATCTTATATTATTTCCATGTTTGTTTATAACTTATAGCTAAATCTTAAAAAATATTTTCAGTGGTCCTGTAACTGTCATTTTTAACTCGGTAGAGATATGACAATGAATTTTTATGTTTTTTATTTTAAACTGATTAATTTTTTAAATGCTTATAATTATGAATTTTAAATACTTACCAGTAAAACTTACTATGCAAATTTCCAGTGATTAAGTTTATCTAAATATTTGTAATGAGTAAAAGCTAAAAGGTATTTAAAAGATAATTCTGTAGCTGCTGATCAATTTACTTTCAAGTCCTCCTGTGGAAAATTTGGCCAATTTATAGCTTAATAAGTAAAGAAAGTAATAGTATCATCATATTCAAGTTATTATTAAATAAATGATTACTGTAAACTTTAAGCAAATTTTTGCAAATAGCAAGAATGTTTAAAAAATGTTAATTAAATTCAAGGAAAATAAAAAAAGATAAGGCAGCAATAGTAAGTTTCATTTCTACCTCCATATTTATTAAAATGATAATGTAGGTAAGTGGTTTTTTTTTTCTTAATACTTTTTTTAAGAAAAAATACCTGTAATATTTGACTGCATGCTTTCTTGTATTAATAATACTGTCCACATTTTCGATTTGAATACATTTTTTAATTTGCACTATATCATTACATAAACTATTCTACGGACGGCGTATTACCGGTCATAAAAACGTCTAGCATTGTGAGGGAACACTTCCTTTCGAGTGCAGTTAAAGCCCAGTGCCCGATACAGTTATGGCAGTCAGCCAGCGTCAGCTTGCTAATATCGCAGTAGAATCAAATGGATATAAGTCACGTTTCGCCAAAATGTTCAAAATGCTTTACATTGAAATGAGACTGCGTACGATAACTCGGGCATTGCGGATGTTATTGCGCAATACAATTAACAAATTAAAAAAATAATATTATTTCGATAACTGTGATGCAATAGGTATAACACTCCCTAGTACAAGGTCGCGGGTTCGACGCCCAGAACAAGAGAAATCTTTGTATTGCCTAGCACAAATCTTTCTAATACAAAGCCACATACCTACGGAAGCTTATGGCTTTTTCAGCAACGATTCCTACATTTAAGAGAATTCTCAAGTTGTTTTAGATTATAATTAAATGTTCAAATTAGGAACCCAAATCTTTGTTTACTATTAGTGATAGTAATAATAATTGTTAAGACTCCGCGATCTCTGTTTGCAAAGTATAACTACTTTTATTAACTAACATTTGCTGATTTATGGTTTAGCTTTAAGTATTCTTACATAGGTTTCTCCTAGATCTTCAAAAATTACGTTAATATACGTTATTTTGTTTCGTTAAAAAGATCAGTAAAATCTATCTGGAGTTTCTATATCCATAGTTGGTAAAAATTAATTTTAATTTATTATTGTTATAGAGTACCGCTTAGCTTAATAAAGTCTTATTGAACATGTTATTTTGGTTAGTTAAGTTAGTGAAAATAGGAATTTAAGTACCAGTGGCGCTTAGATAAACTGAAGTTAAAAAGAAGGAAAATAAATAAAATTCCGCATTTATTCCTATTCCATGATGACAGAAAGTTAATTTCGCTTTTGAGAATTTCAAGTAACGCTTATGATATATTTTATTGTTTCATTCAATGATAAATATTAAACAGAATTGCTGAAAATATCACTTAAATCTTAATTTCTTTAATAAATAGAATGAATTGTCCATCGGACGGAAACAATCACATAAGAATAATCCACTATTTTAAATAGTCCTAATTGAACATACCGCTAGCGAGTTAAATTTACGCATAGGTATATATAATCCGATAATAATATAAATATATATATATAATATAATAATGCGTTCAGAACGCTAATATTAGGTAAATTTTGTTATTTGTAGGTTCTATTGTCGTGTGCGATGGCCAAACCATTCTATTTATTGAAGAAATAAAGGTATCTAATATTGATACGGTATCTATAAAATGTTTTTATTTAACTAATTAAGTAGCAATTTATGACAAAAGTTGTTGTAAAAGTAAATTAACCGACTTGGTTTTACATTAGATCTCTAAACTTTTTGCGATAAAAGAACTGCGTTGCGAGACTTGCGGTTTTTTTACATGTTATGTTTTTAATGGGATATTGTTTACATGACAAATAACCTATTTATCTCGACTACTGTTTGTTTAATATCATAAAAACATTAAATATTAACACAACTATTCAGTATTATACTAAAGTAGTATATTACTTTTAATTTTTCCAAATATATACCTACATAGCGCATTGTAACTGTAACTTGTAAAATATAACTTGTCTGCCCAAACATTTTGTCTGTCCTAGTTTTATAATATGGAAGCGAAGTGACAAGTGCATTTTCGTTTTTATTTATCTATTCTTTTTCTATTGATTTACTTTATAATAAAGTAAATCGTGATCGTTATAATTTTTAGTTCAACCACATCACGTCTTCGTATTTGTCTTCAGCAGCTTTTCTCTTAGGAGAAACCAATTAACATAATTCCCTCCATATGTGAAGCCGATTAGTACCGAGTCACTTAAGCTACTTAAAATTACATGAAAGTAAGAATTAATTATAATTCAAATAATGGAGACACACGTACGGAGACAAACGAAACTTGTAACATTTTTTTAGATTTCCAACACTTAACTGTCACTTATAGTACCTTTAATTTTTTATTTATGCTTATCGATAGATCCGCTATTGAATAATTTTATTTCACACTTGCGACTCACACTCACTTCGCTCGGGTTCGTCCCTAGCTTGCTTTCTAATACAAACTATCACCCCCTTAAGGGAGGATTTTCGGGACAAAAAGTATCCTATCTCCTTCCCAGAGTCTCAAACTATCTTCTTACCAAATTTCATCAAAATCGGTTTTGTAGATCCAGATATTAATTAACCTCCTACAACGTCACAAACTCTTTATAATATTAAGTATAGAATAGCGACTCACCCTCGCTTCGCTCGGGTTCGTCCCTAGGTACATTTTTTTTTGGGCGGAACCCTAATTCTTTTACTGAAATAAGAGTAGCCTAAGGTATTCCTTATAACATCAAGTATCTGCCAGTGGAAGTCCCGTCAAAATCGGCCCAGCCGTTTTGGAGATTAGCCGGAATAAAGAGACAGACAGACAAAAATTAAAAAAAATAATAATTTTCTTATAAATACCGTGTATAATTCCATTTGCATTTAGTAAAAAGCTGTTATTTTGACATTACAAACAGACACTTCAATTTCATCTATCTGTATAGATAATGCGACATTGGCACTAATAATATATATAAGTTAGTTAGAAAAGCTACAAAACAGGTTTCTAAAAAATCACAATTATTCGCCATTTGGATACATCGCATCACTTTTTAATTAAACATAAATCGAAATATTTGTTATTGTATTTTAGGGCTGTTGACCACGGTGGTTCTTAGCACTTCTGAGATTTTCATGAATCACTCCATTATTCGGAATGATGAGTAATTAGTACTACCGGGAAGAAAATTATCGACTACGAAGCTATAAGTAAAAGACACTAATTAATTCGAAAATATGCTGGGCTTACTCTCTCTCTGTCTTTTACGTAATTAGGGACGTTAAAAGCGATAAATTATATCATTGGCACTATTGTTTTCTATACAAAGAAATAAAATTGAAGTGTCTGTTTGTAATGTCAAAATAACAGCGTTTTACTAAATGCATATGAAATTATATACGCTACTTATAAGAAAAACACACTTTTAAAATTTCTGTCTGTCTGTCTGTTTGTTCCGGATAATCTCTGAAACGCCTGGACTGATTTGGATGGCACTTTCACAGGAAGATAGCTGATCGTATAGGGAGTAACATAGGCTACTTTTATTTTAGAAAAACGATAGGGTTCCGCTCAAAAAAATTAAAACTTACCTAGGAAAGAACCCGAGCGAAGCGAGGGTGAGTCGCTAGTAGATAATATAAGTGTCCAACGTTCATAAGCGTACAAACATAACAGTTTTTTTTATAGAAAATTAACGTATTTGTTGTATGGAAATCCCTTTAACATTTTACTTTTTTTCAAACGACGTTCGACATACAAAATGATTTTTATGAGTATTAATTAATATATATTTCTGTTTATTGCTTAAATATTTATACTATTTTGACACCTCCATAGACTAAACAAACAGTTCAAGATAGAGGTCTCTATCGTATTTTA